GAAGAAGCTAATTGAGAATTATTATCCGTGGCTAATTAACATAAACTCGCTCATATTTGTAAAATCGTGAAATGCATTGGATCGTTACTTGAGTGTAATTCCCGATGCATTCATACTTGTAACCATCGATCATTTTACTTGCTTTCTAGGTTAGTTTACATTTCCGCATTTAGATATAAACATTTTCAAAACCAAATTCTTATTGTTTGGTATTGCGTGATAAGCGATAATTTTCTTACATTCCTAATCGCCTACACATTGTTCTCTGTGGGATTCGACCCCGACTCATAGCTGGGTAAATTATATTGCATGCGACCGTGTCCATTTACTTTTTAGTAGTGGATTTGGACGTCATCAGACTACTTATTCCTTGGAGCGGTTGGCTGAGATCTATATCTGCGAGATTGTTCGCCGTCATGGTGTGCCAGTTTCCATCATTTCAGATCAGGGCATACAATTTACATTGCAGTATTAGAGAGCAGTGCGGCGAGAGTTAGTCACACGAGTTGAGTTGTGTACAGCATTCCACCCTTAGATGAACGAACAGTCCGAGCGCACTATTCAGATATTGGAGGATATGCTATGCGCTTGCGTCATAGATTTTGTTGGTTCTTAGGATCAGTTTTGCCGCTTGCAGAGTTTGCCTACAATAACAGCTACCAATCGAGCATTTAGATGGTTCCATATGAGGCTTTGTACGGGAGACGGTGTCGGTCTCTGGTGGGTTGGTTTGAGCCGGTGAGGCTAGGCTATTGGGTATTGACTTGGTTCAGGATGCTTTGGACAAGGTTAAGTGGATTCAGGATCGGCTTCGCACGGCGCTGTCTAGATGGAAGAGCTACGCTGATCGGAAGGTTCGTGATGTTTCTTACATGGTGGGAGAAAAGGTATTGCTCAGAGTTTCACATATGAAGGGTGTTGTGAGGTTTGGGAAGAAGGACAAGTTGAGACCTCAGTATGTTGGGTCTTTTGAGGTGCTTGTGAGGATTGGAGAGGTGGCTTACAAGCTTGCATTGCCGCCTAGTCTATCGAGTGTTCATTGAGTGTTTCATATTTCCATGCTCCGAAAGTATATCGGTGATCCGTCTCATGTTTTGGACTTCAGCATGGTTCAGTTGGATGGTGATTTGACTTATGATGTGGAGCCGGGGGGCATTTTGGATTGGCAAGTTCGGAAGTTAAGGTCATAGGAAATACCTTTAGTGAAGGATCAATGGAGAGGTCAGCCAGTCGAGGAGGCTACTTGGGAGACCGAGCAGGAGATGCGGAGCAGATATCCATGCCTATTTGAGACTCCAGATTTTATTCTAGACCCGTTCGAGGACGAACGTTTTTTTAAGAATGGGAGGATATAACGACCCGGCCGGTCGTTTTGAGTATTATAGCGTCAAAACTATGTTGTCATTTAGATGATCATATACTCAGTGATTCCCCGATTTTTGGGAATTTTGTATTGTGTTGCGGTTTTTACTTATCAGTTATTATGGGATTTTCACTATTAAGCATTTTTATTGTGTTTTGAATTTAAAGATGTATGGTTATTGTGATTGTCGGCTTGCCTAGTATTGTGATAGGCGCTATCACGACATGTGTGATTTTGGGTCGTGACAAAACAAAAACCGAAGATTAACACGAGTCATAATACATCATATGAAGCTACTCAAGACTTCAAACAGTTGAACGGAATGCAAATTCTCAAAATGACAGGTTGGGTCGTTACATTCTCCCCTCACTTAAACATACGTTCGTTCGCGAACATGCCAAGAGTCGTTCCAAAGCCATAAATTTACTGTGTAACCTTACCATCACATAACCAGGGTGATCCCACGTCACCTCAATCCATGTATGCCTGACAACACAACATAACTGAAGATCATTACTTTAACCTTAGTCAATAAGCCTTAGAACCCAATTTCCAACATCCAAAATTCCTTACAATACTCGAATCTCGCAACTACACTGTATAAGTCTGAACATGCTGTATCAAGCCATAACCTTAACCAAGATGTAATCACATGATATACCAAATAACTCGCATACTCGTTGCAATAGTTCTTGATCACAATAGCTGCTCAAAACAAACCCAATACCAGTAATAAACCTCATATCAAATAAAACCTCGTGCAAAACCTTCATACACTGCAGATGATGACACGTAGAAACTCATAAGCACTCATAAGATCAACATGTCATGGAGCTCTCTCTCTCTCGTCTAACAAAAATAAAAGCCAAATCCTAAGCTAACTTCCGAAATTATTATTCCAAACATATTGTAATCAAATCCAGTAGTATCCATTCTAGGTCCAGTGACCTTATCTCATCAAACACAACTATTATTTTGACATGCAACACCAATAAAAACTAAAGCCACAACCGTGAAATTTGTGCACCAATAAGCAACAATTCAATTGTACTCAAACATGGAAAATGACTCAAGTGAGAGAACCGCCCCGCAAGATCAACAAGTGCCACCACAAGCGCAGTGCTACAAACCCATAACACATATAAGAACCGAAACATAAAATCCAACTCAAAAGATCATATCTCAACATAATCCTCCGCAACGCGTGACCCTATCCAAACATCGGTCCTATGAAATACCTCAAGCCACAATGATCAAAATCAACAACCACACGTAATTCCACATCAAGTACATGAAGTGCATGACCATAACCATGGAGAAGACAATAATACAATATACCATTGCCCGAAAAGACCATAACAAACGCGCAATCAACCATTCAAAACCCGAATAACCATTTCGCTCGAATTTCACTACAAGGCCCAAACAAACCGCATCGGGAGTGCATATAACCAACAAATCACAATCCCTCATAGCATAGAAGAGTAACACATAGAACATATCAGAACACGAACAAGCTCAACTCTAACCAAAAGACACACCTTTCCACGATAACGGTGCTGAGTTAACAAATCTGTCCCGGTGTAGAATACACATCCTCATTAGGCCTACAATAGGCCCCCAAATCAACTCCGTTCATCCCCAAATGGATAAATGGCCCTCCAAAAGTACACAATGACCTAACCATGCCACGTACTACCATCTAGCTAACTTTGGCCACACCTTCATAGTCCGCAACCCCGAAATAATCTGCTTCTGAGAACTCCCAGTCTCCAAATCCATAGAACACATGAATCACCATAGCCGATCCCAACTCCATCACTCGAATGACTAACACATCTTTTATACACTATCATCCAACTAGAAAAACTTCAATAATTTCCCCCGCGCCACATGGCAAAAATCTAAACATCAGTTATCGCTCAACCAGGCGAGTATCGCAATACCAATGAAGCATCCGACGTTAGAACACAATGCACCTTCTGAAATGTGCACCCTTCTCAGGAAATACCAAGTAGTAATAGCATTTATCTAGTCATCTAAAACCGTTCTTGATGTCTAATAATTCATGACCTTCCCTTCAAAATTGAATCGTGACCTTGCATATGCAAATCTCAATCCCACACAACACACCACATCTATCATGCCAACATATGAAAAGTATGAGAATCTCATAATCAACTCTGAGTCACCGGTAGAATACATACCCGATCTGTAAGAAACCTTCTATTTGATTCCATCCAAGAGAAAATCACAATACGCAACATGTTTCTCATGCCGGTAGGAAATATCCATCTCAAACCGTGGTAGAAACCATCGAGAACTCTTCAAAACCCATTTGCACATAACCAAGCCATCAAAAGTAAATCTATCTAACTCAACCAAGCCATGCAGGTTGCCAAACCCAAGAGTATTGCCACAAAACACCTGTAGAGACTCACCACATCATCAACACCCAAAGAACCGATTATATCTATTACCGTGCCGATCCAACTTACTATCAAGCTATCCTATTTCTCCGAGTTCCTTCTAAATTACCCTCAAGTTGACACTTCTCCTTGATTGAACACCATGATCCTTACCCAAAGCTCACCATGACAGATCCTTGCATAAAAACACACTGCCCCAATGTCACTCCTCGAACCTGGGGTGCGAGACCGGCACCCGGTGCCTCACCTTACCTAGCGAACCAACTTGCGACTGAGGGACTCTTAACATATAATGTCATACTTTTGCCATGGGGCCACATTGCAAGACAATTTGTGAAGCAAAATATAAAACCGAACGGAAACTAATGCCGACTAAACATCAATATAAAGCTGGGCCGACAAGGCTTCCATAACTGCTACAGCTGGCAAACCAACAAAATATACATACAAGGCCTACAAGCCCAACATACTGCACTAACTGACAGGGTATGTCCATAAGCTCTACAGATGGATGTACCGTGATCGGAACAGGGCCCCAACCTAGCGATAACATATATACATATATACACAACATGTACACAAAACTCTAAACCCGGCAACTCCGAAGGATGTAGAGCTTACCGATCAAGCTAAACTCAAGAAACACCTACTGAGGAGGTCTACCCGTCTGTCTATATGAACCTACACGCATGAAATGCAACGTCCCCAAAAAAGGGACGTCAGTACAAAATAATGTACTGAGTATGTAAGGTAATAAAATCACTGAAAGCTGAAACTGAATTGATAATATAATAAATAAAAGTAACTTGGAGTCAAAGATGACTGGAGCTATACTTGCCTGCTGATACTGACTCAACTCTCTCAATATAGTAAGTAAAATAAATGTCCGACCCTATAAGGCTGGGTACATGTAACTGCTCGGCTGTAGTAGGCTCTATATCACGGCCATTTTGGGCTCCCTCATAGGTGCTCGGCCATAGGAGGCTCGGTATATAACTTACCATCTGATCAGAGGTTGCCCAATAAAGGCCTGCCTACCGATTATAGCTCGATGGTGGTGAAAATATTGTAGTACTGTATATATAAATTCGGGAGTATGAACTTCTCTTCATGCATCGTTATCAAACACATGTAGTTACGAGATCATGCCAAAATGAAGGAAGGGATTAGCCTTAACATTCCTTATCATAATCTTTCCTATCACAAATTTAAACTTGCCTCTTTGCACCATAATCTACAACAACGATAATAATACTATAATTAAGTTACGAAAGGTAAAATTTTTGCACAACGATTGACAAGCTTATTTTGTAATAAAACGGGCAACATCTCCCCTATAATCCTTACTTCCTCCAAATTTAAGATAACACCAACAACACAAGGAAACAACAATAACAACATACATTATTTTCCAGCCTTATATACACCATAAAATAATGCAAAACAGCCCAACACACCCCAATCCCTTCATAGACAAAAACGACCACCATAGTAGTGTCAAACGATCCAAAAATGTTACGACGAATGACCAACCCACCATCCTGAATTTATGTGGTGTTTCTCCACACCCTTCCTGCACCAAAACTCTACAAAACAGTAGTAAAACATGCATCCCAAAAGCAACACAAAACAGTCCGCTGAAAGTGAATAACTCGAACTCATGGCTTCCGATCGCCGTCTTGCGAGTTCTTACAAATATAGAACTACTTACCATGAATTTACAGCAGAAAAAATGGATGAAAGAGAGTAGTAAACTTACCTTATTTTTTGGATTACTCAGCTCCTATTTGGTTCTTCAAACTCTAGGTTTTACCTCCAATTAGAACTTAAAAGGGAGAGAAAATCAATTAGGGTTTATGGGAAATTTTTTGGAGGATTTTTGTAGAGCTTATGTCTGGTTATTATGAACTATTATCAGTCTAATATATGAAGAAAAAAGGCCTTTAAAGGCCTCTTTGGACGACCCGAACTGGCCCATTTTTGGGACATGTGTAATCCTCTCATTTAAGCAAGTAGGTGACACACCTACTTGTCACCTAGCAGTTTGCGCAGTCTCGTAAAAATGCCTATATCTCTCTACCTCGATATCGTATTTGCAAATGATTTAATGCGTATGGAAATAGACTCATAGATCTTCAATTCAGTGGGTTGGACATACCATAAATCTAAGTATATTGGCAGAAAATTGCAGTTACATTTGACCCAAATTTTTAGTAAAACTTATGAAGGTAACTGGTGATGACTTTCATCGACTTTTGTTCCACAACTCGCTTGACTTCAAAACATAATACATGAATATCATACGACTAACATAAATCATAATATAACCTCCTTATCATGTTAAGTACCCTAGTATCACCCCAAAAGTACATGTTATAACATGTCCATCTTGTCGACTTTTGACGAAACATTGTTTTCTTCAATTCCTTTAGCTTCTCAACCTTCCTACTGTCTTTGTACTTGTTATTCATGATCTTCAATATTATGACCTCCGAGGTAACATGATTAACTTACTTTATATACTTTCAAATATTATCTCATTTTTGGTCCTACATTAGTTTGCTTACGACGCACTTTTACGTACGAAAATATAGGGTGTAACATCATTCCCCCCTTAGGAACATTCGTCCTCGATTTTTTACTCTTATAGACTTTGGAAAAATTTTCCAGAGTCTCCTCTGTACACTATACTAAAACCAACCTGCACGCAGCCAGAAAACATACTATGCATGCCACACACGGCCAATGTCTATAAATAGCAACACTTTGCCTCACATAGCCGTAAATCATAATTGCTGAAAGTCAAAAATAAGAGCTTACCTGATGACCTACTAGCCTGAATAGAGTTGTGCTGTAGTATCCCATCTCGAGCCATATCTTTAGATTGAAATTGGTGGGGGCATTTAGACTTCATTTCTTCCTCCGCTTCCCATGTCGTCTCTTCCACATTCTTGCTTCCCCATAAAACCTTCATGAAGGCTACCTCCTTATTTCGTAGCTTGCGGATTTGTCGGTCTAGGATGGCAACTGGAATTTCCTCGTATGACAAGTCCTCCGCAATATGTACATCATCTGTGGGCACCACTCGGGTAGGATCGCCAATGAACTTACGTAGCATAGATACATGAAAAACCGGATGGATAGACTCCAATTCTGAGGGCAATTCTAACTTATAAGCTACTCGGCCTACTCTCCAAATGATCCTATAAGGCCCAATATACCGTGGACTAAGCTTGCAATTCTTGCCAAACCTCATCACGCGCTTCATAGGTGACACCTTTAAGAATACCTAGTCATTAACCCCGAACTCTAAGTCCCATTGTCGTACGTTAGAATATGACTTCTAACGACTCTGAGCTGTCAACAGTCGCTCCCGGATAAGATTTACTTTCTCTATGGTCTGCTGAACCAGGTCAGGCCTATGTAACCCAGATTCTCCAACATCAAACCACCCTATAGGAGATCTGCACTTACGCCCATACAAAGCCTCGTATGGAGCCATCTAGATACTGGAGTGGCAACTGTTATTATATGCAAACTCGATAAAAAGGTAGGTGTTCATCCCAACATCAGTTAAAATCCAACACACATGCTCAAAATGTATCCTCGAGCGTCTGAATTGTGCGCCCGTCTTGTCCATCAGTCTGTGGATGAAAAGTTGTGCTGAGATTCACCTGAGTCCCTAGACCTCTCTGAAATGACCTCCAAAAATGTGTTGTATACTGGGCCCCATGGTCAGATATAATAGATACTGGTAGTCCGTGTAGCCACACTATCTCCTTAATATATAACTTTGCATAATCTTCTATTGTATATGTAGATCTGACCGGCAGGAAATGAGCTGATTTGTGAGCCTATCGACTATCACCCATATAGAATAGAACTTACGATGAGAACGAGGTAAACCCACGATAAAGTCCATGTTTATCGCCTCCCATTTCCACATCGGGATCTCTATAGTCTGCATTAACCCTCCGAGCTTCTGGTGCTCTACCTTCACCTGCTGGCAACTAGGACACTGGGTGATAAACTCAGCAATGTTCTTCTTCATATCGTTCCACCAGTACACATCCTTACTGTCATGATACATCTTCGTCAACCCAGGATGAAGGGAGTACCACGAATAATGTGCCTCTGACATAATCATGTCCCGTATCCTACTACATCTGGAACACACTGACAACACATGTATCTGAGATCCCCATCTCCCTTGAGCTCTAACAACGGCTTCTTCTGATACGTAACCCGCTCTCTCAACTTGACCAACTCTGGGTGTTCGTACTGCCTTTCCTTGACTTCAGCTATGAGAGATGATTTTGTAGTGTTTTGGAGTACAACTCCACCATCATCATAATCTACAAACTGAACCCCCAAAGAAGCTGATTGATGAAACTCTCTAGTTAATTGTCTTTTCTCGGCCTCTACATGTGCTAAGCTACCCATAGATCGGCAACTTAAGGCATATGCTACAGCATTAACTTTCCCTAAATGGTAGAGAATGTTAAGATCATAATCTTTCAATAACTCGAGCCACCGCCTCTGTCGCAAATTCAACTCTTTTTGCTTGAAGGTATATTGCAAGCTTTTATGATGTGTAAATGCATCAACATGAACACCATATAAATAATGCCACCATATCTTAAGTGCATGGACAACCGCAGCTAATTCAAGGTCGTGGGTCAGATAATTCCTCTCGTGCTTCCTTAACTTCCTTGAAGCATACACAATTACCTTCCCATGTTGCATCAGGACACATCATAATCCAACACCTGAGGCATCACAATACACGACATAACCATTTGGACCCTCTAGAAGTGTTAGAACTGGCACTGAGGTCAACCTGTTCTTAAGCTCTTGGAAACTCTGCTCGTAAGCCTCCATCCACTGAAACTTAGTTTCTTTCAGTGTCAACTTTGCCAATGGTTCTGTAAGGGAAGAAAAACCCTCTACGAACCTCTGGTAGTATCCTGCTAAGCCTAGAGAGCGTCTAGCCTCTGTCGGAGTGGTAGGTCTAGGCCAAGATTTCACGTCCTCAATCTTCTGAGTGTCTACCTTTTTACCTTCATCGGATACAACATGCCCCAAGAATGCTATAGACTTTAACTAGAACTCATATTTAGAAATCTTAGCATACAACTTACAGTTACGGAGGTTTGGAGCACCTCTCACAGGTGGTCCGCATGCTCATCCTCTAAACGTGAATAAACAAGAATATCATCAATAAATACTATCACGAAGAGGTCTAAAAATGGTTGGAATAGGCTATTCATCAAGTCCATAAATATGGCGGGTGCATTCGTCAACCCGAAGGACATGACAAGGAACTCGAAGTGGCCATATAGGATCCTGAAGGCTGTCTTTGAAATATATTTCTCCCGAACTCTGACCTGGTGGTACTTCAACCTCAAATCTATCTTTCAAAAGAATCTAGCCCCCTATAATTGATCAAACAACTCATCGATCCTTGGAAGTGGATATGTATTCTTAATAGTTACCTTGTTCAACTACCTATAATCGATACACATCCTCAGTGAGCCGTCTTTCTTCTGCACAAACAGTACCAGTACTCCCCAAGGTGAGGTACTGGGCTTGATGAAACCTTTCTCCAGCAAATCTTTTAACTGCTCCTTCAACTCCTTCAATTCGGCAGGTGACATTCTATACGAATGGATGGATATTAGTTGAGTTCATGGAAGCAAATTGATGCTAAAATCAATCTCTCGCTCTAGAGGAATACTTGGAAGCTCATCTGGAAACACATCTGTGTAATCTTTGACTACTAGATTTGACTGAAGTGTAGGTATCTCAGCATCTGCATCTCTAACTCGCACAATATGATAAATTCACCCTTTTGCGATCATTTTCCTTGCCTTCAGATAAGAAATAAACCTACATCTGGGTGTCGCTGTAATTCCTACCCATTCAAGGATAGGCTCACCTGGAAAATGAAATTTGGTTGCCTTTGCTCGGCAATCAACTGTGGCATAGCAAGCTGCCGACCAGTCCATGCCCATGATAGCATCAAAATCCATCATCTCTAGCTCAACTAGGTCGGCTGAGGTCTGACGACTACAAACTGTCACCGTACAACCTCGGTAAACCTGTCTAGCAATAGTCGGTTCTCCGACCGGTGTAGATACCGCAAAAGGATCACTTAGTATTTCAGGCCCTATGCCAAACTTTCCTCTATCTATCAAGGCATAAGCATCCCAAGAGTAAATGGTCAATATACCTGTCACAACGTCTGGTGAAGACTCCTGGTCCTGTCGACCCACTAAAGCATAGATAAGGTTCTGAATACCACAAGAACTGGAACCTGTACCAGCTGAAGACTGAGACTCGCGCCCTGAAGGGTGCATGGACATAGATGATATTGTTTCTAAACTCGCTGGTTGTGCCATACCCCCAGAATCTCTATTTGGGCAATCTCGCATCATATGCCCCTATTACAGCCCATATCTTCACACAAAAGAGTATTCGTAAGTCAATTGATATATGCTCAGAAATGAGATCATCTCTGAGAGTACATAAATTAAGATAATCATGATACCTTCAAGATTAAAAATATTTAAGATCATGGATAAGAATTACCAAGAGGGTTGAAAGGATAAGAAGCTAAACAAATTGAAGAAAATAAGTTTCGTCGAATGTCGACAAGTTGTGAATATTATAACGTGCACTTTTGTGATGAGACTAAAGTGCTTAACAAGATAAGGAGGTTATGTTATGAGTTATATTAGTCGTATGATAATTGTGTGTTATTTTTTTAAGTCAAGACAGTTGTGGAACAAAAGTTGGCAAAAGTTATCACAAGTTACATTCATAAATGTGCTGAAAATTAGGTCAAATGTAGATGCGATTTTCTCCCCATGTTCTTGGAGTTAGGGGATGATCTACCTACGAAATTGACGATCTATGAGTCTATTTTCTAACACATTAAATCATTTATCAATACAACACCGGAGTAGAGTGATATATGTGTTTCCGCAAGACTGCGCAGACGCCTAGGTGACAAGTAGGTGTGTCACCTACTTGCTTAAATGAGAGTCCAAAAAGGGGCTATTCGGGTCGGCCAAAGAGCCCATTTAAGATATTATCTCCTGAAATATAATATTAATTATATAACACAATAACCAGAACTGAACCCCTGCCAACATCCTCCCAAGAATTGCCACAAACCCTAATTGATTTTCTCTCCTTTTTAAGTTCTAGTCGGAGGTAAAACCTAGAGTTTGAAGAACCAAGATAGGAGATTAGTTATTAAACAAATAAGTTATGTTTACTGCTCTCTTTCATATGTTCTTTCTTCTGGAGATGTGTGGAAAGTCGTTCTATAATTGTAAGAATTCACGGGATGGTGATCGGAAGACGTGAGTTCGAGTTATTCACTTGTAGCAGACTGTTTTGTGGACTGTTTTGTGTTGCTATTGGATTGCGTGTTTTACTACTATTTTATGCAGTTTTTTAGGAGGAAGGGTGTGGAGAAACACCAAATAAATTCAGGGTGGAGGTTTGGTCGTTTGTCATAACATATTCGGGCTGTTTGACACCACTACGGTGGTCGTTTTGTGTATGAAGAGATTGGGGTGTGTTGGGCTATTTTGTAGTATTTTGTGGTGTATATAAGGTTGGCAAATATGTATATATGTTGATATTGTTGTGTTATTTTGTTTTTGGTGTTATCTTGAATTTGGAGGAAGTAAGGATTATTTGGGAGATGCTGCCCGTTTTTATACAAAATAAGCTTGTCGTTCGTTGTGCGATAGTTGAACCTTTCGTAACTTAATGATAGTATTATTATCGTTGTTATAGAATAAGGTGCAAAGAGGTGAGTTCAACTTGGTGATTAGAAATATTGTGATAAGTTATGTTAAGGCTAAACCTTTCATTCATTTTGGCATGATCCAGTAACTACATTTGTTTGATAACGAGACATAAATAGAAGTTCATATTCCTGAGTTTATGTATGTTTTCCTAGTCTATTAAGTTACAATATTCTCCCTTATAGAGACTTCATATTCAGTTTAGTTTTGTCTTTTTTCAGCCAAGAGAGAGTCTATGTGTGTGTATATATATATATAGTATTACAGTATGTTCACAACCATCGAGCCATAATCGAGGCCCCTATTGGGCAACCTCTGATCTGATGGTAAGTTATATACCAAGCCTACTGTGGCTGAGCACCCATGAGTGGGCCTAGAATGGCCGAGATACAGAGCCTAGTATGGTCGAGCGCCTATGAGCGAGCCTACTACG